TGTGGAAACCCACTAAGTGATGCACTGAGTGTATGCTTTACTAAACAGATAGGTCTTTAATCTAGTTTTGAACTGAGAGAGTGTGTCAGAGCCTCGGATGTTATCAGGAAGGCTATTCCAGAGTGTAGGAGCCATAAATGAGAAGGCTCGACCTCCTTTACTCGACTTTGCTATTCTAGGTACTACCAGAAGCCCTGAGTTTTGAGATCTTAAAGAGCAAGCTGGATTGTAGAGAGACAGAAGGTTGGTTAGATAAACAGGAGCTAGAATATTTAGAGCTTTATAGGTGAGGAGTAATATTTTAAATTCAATACGAAACTTAACAGGCAGCCAGTGTAAGGAGGATAAAATTGGGGTGATATGATCATATTTTCTAGACCTGGTAAGTAATAAATACTGTATTACTTTAATTTATATATTAGAGGTAATATGTCTGTGTTTTAAATTACTAACATCTACATAGGTTACACAGATAGACACGTTAACACAGCCATATGCAGGTGGTGATGAGAAAGTTACATAATGAACCAATGCTCATCACAATCAGCTTTTCCCACAATCAGAAAGGTGTGTCAGTGTGTAGAAGGTGCTCGGTGTCATTCACACAGCAACTAAACACCAGTATAATAACACACATAAAATTAAAGTCATGAATAAACATTGTTTACCAACATTAGATGTAACATAAATCTCTAATGTACAATACAGATGGACAAACAACTGAAAAGATCCATATTAATGTCAACAAAAAGCATTAAAAGTGACGTGCCATGCAGGGAATTCTGGGAAAGTCAATTTACCGTTATTCGCCGTATATATTAAGGAAACATCCTGTTAACCAGGTTACAGATTTTTACTGTAGCATTTATACAGTTTTTCACTGTTGAAATCACGGCCATTTTATATTTACTTTAATAATTCTTTAATGTTTAATTAGTTTCCCAGAGATGGGTTGCGGCTGGAGGGGCATCTGCTGCATGGAATTGTGCCGGATGAGTTGGCGGTTCATTCCGCTGTGGTGACCCAGGATTAATAAAGGGACTACGCTGAAAAGAAAACGAATGAATGATGAATGAATGAGGGTTTGGTTTAAAGGTTTTCTGGCTATATTTTGTTGTATAGTCTGGTATTATAATTTGTGATGTAATATTATGGTTTATTTATTTATTTATTTCATTATTTATTTATTATTATTTATTTTTTTGGGGGGGGGGGATTTTTACTTGAAATATCTAAGCTATATTTATGAATGTGTGTGTGTGTATGTATGTATGTATTCATATGTATATGTGTATATGAATGATTGTGTATGTATGTATACATATGTATGTATGTATATGTGGACATATATGTGAGAGGATATCATGGGATCCGGAAGTGTACAAAAAGGAGCACCTGATCGTGATGAACACTGTCTGATGAAGTGGCGCGTTGCTCGAAACGTTACACGCTTTGTGTCAGCTTTTTTAATTTAATAAATTTGTATATTTGGAGCTTTGGTGTTGCCGCCTTTGATGAATATTTCATTTTTTCCAGTGTGCATATGTTACCCAGAGTTGGGTTATAACATTTTTTGTTGGGTTGTTACTTTCCTTTCAACAGTAGATTAATTAATAGTTTACATTCAGATTAAAATATGTGACAATTTACTAGAATCTTCCCAGTTTACTCTATAGGAAACATTGCCTGTTTAATAAAGTCATTTACTGTTGATTAAACAAGCACTTTAGGCATTAACAGCGCTTTAAACCTGCTAACTCATTTCACACCAGGGCTTTTTACACTGTGCTTCACCTTGGGTTATTGTGTTGTTAAACCTGAGGCTAAGGCTGTTTTTAAGCTTGAGTTAAACAACGTTTCACACTTGTAATTATCACAGCCTCCAGACGCTAAAGAAAAGTTTAGCAGGCTACAAATCCTAAACTTAACAGAGCTGACCTTATTAAATATTCACATGCTCTGTAGAGTCACACAAACTTATGTCAGGAAGGAAAAAAGTTAAAACCAATCTATTTATAATTTCAAGTGTGAGAAGACTTAACTACATTTTGAGTCTAATAATTTAGTAAAATATTTAGGTTTAGCCACAAATTAAATGCAACCAAAGCTGTTCAAAATCAACCTAAAACTTAAATAATTTATATTAGTGAGATTCATTTATTATTAATCTTTTAAAGTGTGAAAGCCATTTTTTTTCCAAAAAGTTTTTTTTTTAAATTTATATTAAAGAAGCAAAGAATCTGTTTAAGTTTAGATAAGAAAATTAAAATAGTTTTAAAATTATATTAGAAAGTACTAATTTAATTTGGAATTAAATAGCAAGATGTTTTAGATTTAGGTAAAAAAAGATAGCTGATGATTGATTGTTTGGCATGCTGTCCTGGGAGAGAGCCCTGAGCCCGGGGCTCCCTCCCGCTAGCAGGGCGAAAGGGGAGTTTGAGCTCAGGTAGATCTCGAGAACATTAAAAATATTGAATTAAACTCTGTACAAGTAAAAAAGACGTTAGATTTAGCTAAAAAAAATTAGGTAAGTCATGCTGAAACACTGTATTTTTTAAGGGGTGGGTCAGTTGGCATTTCTGTGTGGAGTTTGCATGTTCTCCCCATGTTGGCGTGAGTTACCTGAATTGAATAAGCTTAATTGGCCGTAGTGTGTGTGTGTGTGTGTGTGTGAATGAGTGTGTATGGGTGTTTGCAAGTGTTGGGTTGCAGCTGGAAGGGCATCTGCTGCATAAAACATATGCTGGATAAGTTGGTGGTTCATTATGCTATGGCGACCCCAGATTAAAAAAGGGACTAAGCTGAAAAAAATGAATGAATGTCAAAATCAATCAATCAATCAATCAATCAATCAATCAATCAATCAATCAATAAACAATTTTCTGAACCTATTGTTATACAATGCTAAAATTTCTGTATGCAACTTTTTTTTTTCAGTATGCAAAATAGGGTACATTTAATTAAACAATGTCTCATTTGCATATATAAACATAATATTGCAGTAATCTTGTAAATTGTTAGTGAATGTTTACCATTTTTAATGTTATAAATCAACTAGTGAATCTTATTAGCTATTTTTAAATCCAATTCACCGGCGCTGTTTTGCTTTAAAGGGATAGTTCAAAAACCTGTTTATTTCTTTCCTGTCAGAATCAAGAAATTAGATTTATTTTGAATAATGTTGTAAATCTGTATGCACTGACTTCCATAACATTTGTTTTATAGAAGTCAATAGTTACAGGTCCTCATCTTTCTTCAAACTATCGTCTTTTGTGCTCAAAAGAAAAAAAGAAACCACTTGAGGGTAAGTAGTGACTACATTTTGATTTTTGTGTGAACTACCCCTTTAAATGGAAAAACTTCAGTAAAAACAGCTGTCAGCGATTTTAAAGCAATTATATTAAGTATTCAGTGTTTACAATTAAAATGTAATACATCATGATTAAAACTCACAACTAAGCTAAGAACAATTATTAGTTTTAGCAACAAATGAAGTGATTTGAACCTACTGTCATCTAATGCTAAGATTTAAGTGCTAGAAATATATGCAAATTAGGGTATATTTAGTTAAACAATGCCTCATTTGCATATCTAAACATATAATTGTAAGAATATTGAAAATTATTTGCAAATATTTGCCATCTTTACTGTTATAAATCAACTGGAGATAACGATTAGCTATTTTAAAATCCAATTCACCTGCGTTGTTTTGCTTTAAGGGAATAGTTCACCCAAATAATGAAAGTTCTGTCATTTACTCACTCGTCACGAACCTGTTTTAGTTTCGTTTTAAATAACTTTGGAAATCTGAATTGACTGACTTCCATAGTATTTGTGTTAATAGAAAATAGGTCTTCATCTTTCTTCAAAATATCTTCTTTTGAGCTCAGAATAAGAAATAAACCACTTAAGGGTGAGTCAATAGTGAGTAAATAATTTTTTTGGGCTGAACTACCCCTTTAAATAGAAAAACACCAGTAAAAACAGGCATCAGTGCGTTTATATGAAGTATTCAGTGTTTACAATTTCAATTTAATACATCATAATTAAAACTCACAAATAAGTTAAGAAATTTTTTCAGCTTTAGCAACAAATGAAGTGTTTTGAACCTACATTCAATGCTAAGATTTATGTGCTAGAAATATATGCAAATTAGGCTATATTAGGGTATATTTAGTTGAATATTTAGTTGAATTAGTATAAACAATGCCTCATTTGCATATCTGTTTTGAACCTACTGTCATCTAATGCTAAGATTTATGTGCTAGAATTATATGCAAATTAGTGTATATTTAGTTAAACAATGCCTCATTTGCATATCTAAACATATAATTGTAAGAATATTGTAAATTATTTGCAAACGTTTGCCTGTTATAAATCAACTGGAGATAACTCTTAGCTATTTTTAAATCCAATTCACCTGCGTTGTTTTGCTTTAAAGGGATAGTTCACCTAAATAAAAGTTCTGTCATTTACTCACTCGTCACGAACCTGTTTTACTTTCATTTTAAATAACTGGAAATCTGTATTGACTGACTTCCATAGTATTTGTGTTTATAGCAAATAATAGTTACAGGTCTTCATCTTTCTTCAAAACATCTTCTTTTGAGCTCAGAATACGAAAAGAAACCATTTAAGGGTGAGTCAATAGTGAGTAAATTTAATTTTGGGGCTGAACTACCCCTTTAAATAGAAAAACACCTGTAAAACAGCCATCAGTACCTTTATATGAAGTATTCAGTGTTTACAATTTCAATTTTATACATCATAATTAAAACTCACAACTAAGTTAAGAGCATTTTTCAGCTTTAGCAAGAAATTAAGTGTAAAACAGATGTGAAATCGTAAGATTTCACAGAGGATTAGAGGAGACTTCATGTTAAGCGAGAGGGAAAAAGGGCTGAAAACACATTAAATAGAGTGGAATGGCGTGCGTCGCGCGCGCTGCAGCAGTTGCCAGGGGAGATCGAAGGGGAGGGGTTATGATTGGCTGAAGTGGGTCTGTTGCCTGGCAACGGCAAAGGGGTTTGGTAGCGTTGCTGTGCGGCGTGATCTGTGCGCAGCGCCGATGGAGGAAACAGTTTGAGGCTGAACAGTCGGACTACTGACGGGAAAGAAAGCTCCGCGTGTCCCAATGTGAGTAACCAAACCCGGTCTGCAGCTTTCCGTGCTGTCGAGGGACTTTATATGTGTGTGGAAGTTAACACGCGACAGACAGGGCAAGTTGACGTGAAAGGCATGGGCGGATATATCAGGCTGAGCTTCGGTGGTTCCTGTATTGTTTCTTTAGTGCTGTTGTTTGTTGTCGTTCAGATGTCGAATTTCACGGCATTCTTACGAGCGGAATCAGCGATACGCGAACATTCCGTCGCTGCTTCCCCTGCCATGTGCTCCAATCCAGCAAACAACTTCTTTTGTGGTCGAGGACACTTGCTCAAGTGTTCTCGCGCACTTCTGAGTGGAATACCGATATCTGACATGATTTTGCCCGTCACTCTTTTGTTAACAGCGAGAGCGAGTTAGCGCGGAACTCTCACTGAACTCATCTCTTTAGCGTTACATTGTCTTTCTTGATGTGATTCCATTGTGTCCTCGTCTGTTTAGGTTGGTTGTTGGATAATAACTTCAATATTAACTTTTTAGACAATATTTCCTTTGTTAATAATCAGTAGATGGCTTATTACGTTAATATATAAAGTTTTAAACACATTTAATTGATTAATATTCAATGAATGTCTTGTGGTAATACAAATGTTTCTATTTCAACACCAACATTTACGTTTATTTAAATGTATATGGCAAAGTGTGTGTTTTATGCTGTGAGCTTATCGTTTGTGGCGCGTTTAAACACTAAGTTACATTACAGTTCCCTTGAATAGCTCCCTTTTGAGACATTAAATGATGTGTCTTGCTTGTAAATATGTCTTTCATTAATTTTCTTTTTGGCTTAGCCTTTTTATCATAGTGGTAATAAGAGGATATTCAGACATACTCCTTAATAATATCATTTCAGAAAAGTATTCTTTGCAAATTCTAAATGGGGAAATTATATTAGCAGCAAATGACTATCAAATTATAACATTGTTCACAGTGAATTAGATAGTGTTAATGTTGTTTAAAATCCTACTTGCATGCTAATTTCGATTAAATATTCAAAGTAAAATGGCAAACAAAATAGAGACTGCGTAATGAACAAATGTGCAAATATAAAACCAACTTTACCTCATATCTTTTATTCAGGGTCTCCATGGGGTCTTAATGTCTAAAATTTTAAAACCTAAATTTTAGGCGTTAAAAAGTATTAGATTTACTGACATATTGAATTGTAGGTCTTAAATTGTTTCAAACAGGTCTTAATTTTTTTTGACCAAGTGAAGCTACTCAGTTTGGGCCACATTTCAATCTAATGACCAACAACACATCTCAATAAAACCATATATTTTTAGATTTAAGTTTTTTATTGTAAAGAGATAGTTCCCCAAATAATTCCCCAAATTAAATTCCACAATCAGGGGAGAAAAAAAAAACTAATATCAATTACATGATTCCTCATGATAATACTGGGCCATCAGAAAAAAATCTTAACCCTGTATAAGTTTAAAATTTAATTCTTTGTGGTCTTAAAAGGGTCTTAAAAAGACTTACTTGACTTAATGAAACCTGCAGAAACCCTGTTTATTAACCAAGGATCACCACAGCGGAATGAACCGCCAACCTGTCAAGCATATGTTTTACACAGCAGATGCCCTTCCAGCTGCAACCTATTAAATATATCATACAAGATAAAAAAAGGTAGGTAACACTTTACAAGAAGGTTCATTAGTTAGTGTTAAGTAATTAATTTACTAACATGAACAAACAATGAACAATACATTTACTACAGTATTTATTCATGTTAATAAACGTTAGTTCATGAAAATACAGTTGTTCATTGTTAGTTCATGTTAACTCATGGTGCATTATCTAATGTTAACAAGCATGGAGTTGGATGTTAATAATGCATTAGTAAATGTTCAATTATGATTAATAAATGCTGTACATGTGTTGTTCATGATTAGTTCATGTTAGTAAATGCATTAACTAATGAACCTTATTGTAAAGTGTTACCAAAAGGTAAAATAGTTTTTAAAGGAGCATATGTCATTGCTTACAATGTCAAAAGCTCGTATTATGGACCGAACACATTGTAAAGCTTTTATTTGAGAGTAAAGAAAAATGTTTGAATTTACTCAATAGATTTACAAGTGTTGTTTTTTGACTCAGCAGTTTTATTAATGATGGTTGGATTGAGCCTGGATTGAGATGATGAGCATTGTAATTGTTTCTGAGTTGTTCATTCTCTGCCAACAAGTCTTGTCAATGAATTTGGTGGGGTTTTTTTGTTATGAGATTTTTTTTTGTGCGATTTAATTGAGTATATGTTTTATGTATAAAATAAGTGTTGGACTAAGAATATCAGGGTCTTAAAAATTCTTAAAATGTCTTAAATTTCACAAACAAAAGGCCTTAAAAAGTCTTAAATTTACTGAAATATTGTCTTGTAGATCTTAAATCATTTTAAGCAGGTCTTAATTTTCCTGTGTCCAACACTGTAAAACCCAAAAAGTTAAGGTAACTCAAAACAGTTTGAGGAAACCGATTGCAACAAACTATTTAACTACAAAAACTAATCTTAATGAGTACTGTGAACTTAATCCATTTGAATAAATGAAACAATTTGAGCACAGCACAACCCCATAAACAAAGAGAACTCAAACCCACTGAGTACTGTAAAACCCTATAAGTTAAGGCAACTCAAACTGTTTGAGGAAACCAATTGCAACAGACAATTTGAGTAAAAAAAACTAGTCTATATGAGTACTGTGAACTAACTTCATTTAGGTTGAAGTAATGAGGTATTTAATTAACTCATTACTTTCATCGCTGAGTTCAAAACTCCTTTCAAATAAGTAAAATTAACTTAAAGTAAATTTTAAGTTAACTACACTCATTTCATTTGATAAAGTTGATTGTTGGGTTTACAGGTAAGTAAAGCTATCCATTTGGGCCGACATCCATCTAACCACAGCAATCCATCTCAATAATAAATATTTTTATTTATTTATTTATTTAATTTTTTACTTTTTGTTGCCGAGTGATCCGATTTACAATAGCTGTTTGCCTATTTTACAGCAGTTTCAGGGAAAGAAAACTAAAAACAATTACACAATTCCTCATGATAATAACAGAGCAACACATCACTTTACATAATACATTATACTCAATCGGATTGGGCCAAAAGTCAACAAATGTATATTTTTGATTGTTTATGTCATTGTCTCCAGTCTCCACAATAAATAAACTTTTTACAATGTTAAACTTGCCTTTAAAAAAATATACTATGTTAAAAAAAATTTTTTTTTCAAGAGTTTTCTTGTTTTGACACATTAAAATATGTTGCTTAGAAATAATTACACCATATTTGTTTGTTTTTTGTGGCAACCGACCGGGCCATTGTAAGTCATCATTAGTGTTTAGCCCTGTGTAAGTCTAAAATGTTATTCTTAATGGTCCTACAAGGGTCTTAAAATGTCTTAAATTGAACTTGATTAAACCTGGTATATGAGTGTATGTCAGCATTGGCAATCTAGTTTACTAGAAATCTCGCCATTGGTTATAAGAAACACATTATTTGAGTAGTAATGTGTTTAATATAAATGAAAGTAAAACGTGTTACAAACAGCATACTGACATGGTTTTTATGAGTCATTACACCTATACTGCCAGAAATGAAATCTGTTGACATGCATGCCTGCCATACCACCTGTGTCAGAGACGTTTTTGACAGGAAACATTTGACTTAACTTTACTCTGAGTTTAGTTCCTCTTAGTTCTTGGTAGCTTTTGTTTGTGAAAAAAGAGCCTGTTCGTTGCCTGCTGCGGGGTCCATATGAGCTCCATTCACTGGAAGCTTGACCTCATTGACATGATGCAATCTGTTCACAGGATAATCACTTTCAGAGCAAGACTGCTCATTGATTGAATATGCTTTGCTATTATTCCCTAACGTTCGAGTCACAACAACTTATTATGCCAACGATCGTGTCTGCAATTCATCGCCCACTTCTCCTGAATCCCCTAAATGCTGGAGCTTAAGTCTCGACATGGCATCACTTTAAAAGAAAGCAAACAGCTGTGGGAATTCTCGACTAATCTTATCAAGATGTTTTTATGATGCTGCTCTCGCATGTATTGTGTTGTGGTTAATATTTGACACCAGTCATTGCTAAAGATCAGCTAGAAAAGTTAGAAACCTTGAACTGGATGAAGAAACAAATTAAATTTAGAGTTTTGTTTAATGTAGGGATGTGCAATATTGAAGAAAAATGCTAAATAATGCGATATTTTTCTATATGTAATAATCTGATATATATATTTTTAAAATTATAATCAAATATACGCTTCATATTATTTCCAGAAAAAGAAAGCATCACTACAACTTAGGGCTGCACATTATATCGTTTCAGCATTGCAATGGAATCATTCACTATAGTCACATTGCAGGATATGCAATATTGAGTTAATCACTTGCATGGATTTTTAAGGCCTGTGACTGTATGAGGATTTTAAAGGCATTCAGGCATAAGAAATTGCACCATTTGTAACTTTAATAACTGTTAATTTAATTGAATTATTCATAGAAAAAGGAGACTATGCAGTATAATTGTACATTTGATTATTCAATTACTGTTATACCCAAATAGTTAATCCTCAGAAAAAAATACAAGACTGTTTCCTTTATTGCATTTATATATGCTTTTAGATTGTTTAATATATTTTTGCAGATGTGCTTCCTTATAGAACCATACCAATCAATCTAAAATTATAAATTCTTTCCAAATAGAGGTAAAGGCATCTAGTGAAATTGTACTCGTATCACAATATATATAGCAGAAAAACCAAAATTACACAATCAATGTCAGATTTTTTCTATATCGTGCAGCCTTACAACAAGTTTGTGTGAAATACAACCTGAAATCTCAAACAGAATTTTAAGTCTAGATTCGATCAAGTGATTTTTACAGATGTCGTATTGGACGTACAAGAATAACCCATGTTTTTTTAGATGAAGACCCCTAATGTTTATACTGCACAAT